AACCATATATGTTGTGTTAGAAACTGCTAAGTGCCATGAAGGAAAGGTAAAGAGCCTGATAAGATTGGAACCAGTGTCTGGTTTAGACAGAGGTGATAGAGGAAACTTTTCTAAGGATTGGAGGATCTGAAAGAAAGAGTGTGGTTGATGCTCGCAAGAATGGTGAAGTGGGGCTCAGCAGGAGGTGGCAGAGGCTGCCGCACTGGGTGACTTTATCTTACACACCGGGGAAAACCAGTGAAAAGTTGTAAGCATTGAAAAAATAAATACCCATTTGGGACTTTGCTGGTGGCGCAGTGGTTAAGAATCCGCCTGCCAGTTCAGGGGACACGGGTTTGAGCCCTGGTCTGGGAAGATCCCACATGCCGCGGAGCAACTAAGCCCGTGCACCACGACTACTGAGCCTGCGCTCTAGAGCCCGCGAGCCACAACTACTGAGCCCACGTGCCGCAACTACTGAAGCCTGCGTGCCTAGAGCCCATGCTCCACAACAAGAGAAGCCACCGCAATGAGAAGCCCGCACTCCGCAATGAAGAGTAGACCCGCTCGCCGCAACTAGCGAAAGCCCGAGGGCAGCAACAAAGACCCAGTGCAGCCAAAAATAAATAAGATAAATTTTTAAAAATTTTTTTAAAAATACCCATTAGCATGCTTTTTTGTACACAATGACAAGTTGATAAAATTTATGTGGAAATGCAAAGGATCTAGAATAGTCAAAACGATTTTGTAAAGAAACTTATACTACCTGATTTCAAAACGTTGTACAAAGCTACAGTAACCAAGACTGCAACTGGCATTAGATTAGTCATATAGAACAATAAAACAGGATAGGGAGTCCAGAAATAGACCCACATGTGTATGGTTAGCTGATTTTTGACAAAAGTGCCAAGTTAATTAAATGGGGAAAGGACCTTCAACCTTACGTCACATACCACAGTTGACTCAAATCATAGACCTGAGCATAAAAAATAAATATGAAACTTCTTGGAGAAAATATAAAAGAAAATCGGTGACTTTGGGTTAGGTGGCAGTGATTTCTTCAGACACACAAAGCATGACTGAAAAAAACTGATAAACTGGACTTTATCAGAATGAAAATTTCAGAAGACAAAGTAGTTTGCAGACTGGGATAAAATGTCCGGAGTATATGTATCTGACAAAGCCTCTCTATTTAGAATATATAAAGAATCCTTAAAGCTCAGTAAGGCAAGATTATTAAATTAAAAATTGGCAGAAGATTTGAACAGACACTTCACAAAAGGAAGTATACTAATGGCCAATAAACACATGCAAAAATGCTCAATATCATTGGTCATTAAGGAAAGGCCAATTAAAATTGCAATAAAATTCTACTACTCACCCACCCTCTAGAATGGCTAAATAGAAAAAGAATTACAGGGCTTCCCTGGTGGCGCAGTGGTTGAGAATCTGCCTGCTAATGCAGGGGACACGGGTTCGAGCCCTGGTCTGGGAAGATCCCACATGCCGCGGAGCAGCTAGGCCCGTGAGCCACAACTACTGAGCCTGCGCGTCTGGAGCCTGTGCTCCACAACAAGAGAGGCCGTGATAGTGAAGAGGCCCGCACACCGCGATGAAGAGTGGCCCCCGCTTGCCACAACTAGAGAGAGCCCTTGCACAGAAACGAAGACCCAACACAGTCGAGAATAAATATATAAATAAATAAATAAATACTAAAAAAAAAAAAAAAAATTACAATACCAAGTGTTGACAAAGGTGGGAATGCAAAATGGTACAGCCGTTGGAGAAAACAATTTGGCAGGTTTTTGACAGCAATTTCACCCAAGAGAAGTGAAAGCATGTCCACAAGAGAATTGGCACTTGAATATTCATAGCTCCTTTATTCATAATAGCCCCAACCTGGAAACAATCCAAATGCTATCATAGTTAATGGGGAAAGCAGCAGAATGGTCATATGATGGATACTGCTCAGCTGTGAAAAGGAACAAATTACTGACACCTACAACTAGATGGAGGAACCTCAAAACCATGCTCGAAGAAAGAAGCCAAACAAAAGAATACATGAATGCGACTACACTGACACTTCTAAAAAGGCAAGACTAACCTATGATGACAGAGTGGAGAAGTGCTTACCAGGAGCCAAGGGTAGGGAGGTAGGGATTAACTGTACAAAGGGACTGTTAAAAGATAATTTTCAAAAACGAATAAAATCATGACTCTCTTACAGATGTAAACATGAAAGATTTTATTTAACTCATTAATGAGAAACCTGTTAAGGGTATTACAGCCAATTCAAAGCAGGTATTGAAAAACAGAAACTGTATAGGTCAGGAATACTGAAGTGAATGTACAAGTGAAGACAAAACTGATTTCCTCCACACAGCGGGAGGGAGGTCAATCGAACCTCCACAGAACAGGACAGAATTTGCATTTATATAGACAAGAAGTATTTTGCTTTGCTATTAGTTACTTACAACCTACAAAGTTGTAAAACAGCCCCAAGACAATGAAAGACTAGAATCAGATAACTTAAAAGGATGCACTGTATGTAGACAATGCATTATTTTCCACTGAAGCATATTTATTTTTCCTGCAGTGCACAGAAGGATATTGGAGTGATGAGAAATTTCTAAGTCATGATGGTGGTGGTAGTTACCTGGATGTATACATTTGTCAAAACTCATTGAACTGTACAATTAAAATAGGTGTGTTTATTTTATGTAAGTTATATCTCAATAAAGTTGATTAGAAAAAGAAAAGAATAACCAACAGCATTTGGGGAGGAAAGAGTGAGAACGAGTAGATATAGCAGGACTAATCGGGAGGCTATTATAGCTGGCCAGGTAAGGGGAAGGGCTCCCATTAGCGGTAGTTACTGACTTGGAGACAGATACACGTGAACGAATGAATTCCTTATTTTCAAACTCCATGTTTAATCTGGGGGAAGGTTCAAAAGTTTGATGAAAAGACAAAATATTCGACTGGATGTGAAAATAGTCTTACAAAAAAAAAATCCTAAAAAACAAAGAACACAGTGGCCTCGCATTTAGTAAAAGCAATATGGCGTAGCAGGTTGCTCAAATGCTAGGTTTCTTTGGGCTAATATTTGAGAGTTCAGCATGTACCAGACATCTTATTAGGCTGAACCACATGAAATTGCCAACATTTGACCCTTTTGACCCAGAAGTGGCAACTTCATGTAGTTCATCCTAATATAAGTCCTTAGATTCTTATTTACTCCTCACATCTGTGAGGTGGGTAGCCCCTCCCTACACCCCACACTTTTACAGATGACAAAAGCACCCACCAAGGGGTCAAAGAATTTGCCCAATAATATCACCTTCTTAGTAAATGATAGAAGCAAGGTTCAAACCCCTGTGGCAGACTCCAGATCGGCATTGTAACTAACCCCTGTGATGCACTATTCAAAACACTGCAGAAGGACTTCCCTGGTGGCGCAGTGGTTAAGAATCCGCCCGCCAATGCTGGGGACATGGGTTCGAGCCCTGGCCCAGGAAGATTCCACATGCCGCGGAACAACTAAGCCCGTTCGCCACAACTACTGAGCCTGCGCTCTAGAGCCGGCGAGGGAGAGCCCCATGCCACAACTACTGAAGACCATGCGCCTAGAGCCCGTGCTCCACAAGAGAAGCCACCACAATGAGAAGCCCGCGCACCGCAACAAAGAGTAGCCCCCTCTCGACGCAACTAGAGAAAAGCCCGCACGCAGCAACGAAGACCCAATGCAGCCAAAAATAAATAAATTTATTAAAAAAACAACAACAACTGCAGAGTCCTGGGCAGTGCTGTTAGGGATAGGAATGGTTTCTCAGAAATGTGCTTAGTCTCCTAAGAGTTTCTAAGGCTAAACCCAGATCCCAAATTTTACCCTATGGCCAGGTTTCTGGCATCCTTCCCAGCACCTCCAGGGATCTGCTGTCCCTGCCCAGAAACCAGGAAGCCTTTGTGTTCCTCCATATGGCCCCTGGGTAGGCATCTTCCTAATAATGCCTTCTGACTGCTCCTCACCTACCTGTCCAAACCCCACCCCACCTGCCCTGTGTCACGGAGCTCACAGTTCCTAACAGCCCCCAGCCATGAAAATCGTCACTGCCACTCATAGTTTCTGATCATTGTCATAAGCTGAGGTTTTATTTCATGACCGCACGCCCTACACGGGAGGATCCCTGCACGAGTGTCCCTCTGGAGGGAGTGGGTGGCCCCACTGTTTTACCCAGGATGAAACTAGGTGACACCCAGTGGCAGGGCAGGATCTCTGACCACTCCTTCAAACGTGGCTAGCTGCTGTCCTTCTGGGACTTTATCCTCACATCTGAGTCTCAGCTCTCTCCTGGCTCTTGAAGTGCTGGGAAATTGAGTGTAGAGTGGCAGGTGTTTTTTCGAGTCTCCACCTCCAGCAGGGGAGCTGGAAGAGCCTTGGGGGAGTTACTTCCAGGCCTTCCTCCCCAAGCCACCCTACCTTGGTGCACATTTGCCCAAGAGCTGAAGGCTCCCGCGTTGGGCTGCGGCGCGTCCCTAGCCCGCGAGGCTCTGGCGGTCGGTGAGCCCCGGCGTCGCCCTCAGGACCCCGCAGGAGTCGCACAGGTGGACTGGAGAGCGCCGGCAAGTGGGCTGCGACTTTCCCCGAACAGGAATTCGTTTGGGGCTGCGCCGGCGACAGCGGCGGGCACTCAGGGCGGGGAGGCGGCCAGATCAAAGGGAGCCGCTCGCTGGGCCAAGACTTGTCCGGGAGCGCGAGGGGCCACCCCTCCGGGGAGGGTGGGGGACACCCCGAGCGCCGACCTGAGAGCAGCCGGGGCGCCCACGCCGGGCCAGGGAGAGAGAGAGAGAAGAGAGAGAGAGAGAAGAGAGAGGAGAGGAGAGAGAGAAAAGAGAGACAGACAGACAGAGAAGAGAGAGGAGAGAGTAGATAGAGAAGAGAGAGAAGACAGAGAGAAAAGAGAGAGAAGAGAGAGAGGAGAGAGAAGAGAGATCAGAGAAGAGAGAGAGAGAGAGGAGAGCCGCGCGCCCCCGCCCCGCGCGCCCCCGCGGCCGCCGGAGCTCCCCTCCCGAGCCCTGAGCGCTGGCGCTGCCGGGCCTGCGCCGCCGTCCCAGCGCTCCCGCCCCCGGAGGAGGCGAGGCCCGGCGTCAACCGACTCGCCGGAGCGGCCCGGGAGGCGCGAAGGCGCCGGGCGGAGCAGCCTCGGGAGGGAGAGGATGCCTCGACTCCCCGGCCGCGCGGCGCTCCCCCTCTGCGTGGTGCTGCTGACCGCGCTGCTGGCCGCGGTGCGAGCGCTCCCCCTGCGGAAGCCGCGGGGCCCCGGCTGGAGCCACGTGAGGCTGGCGGAGGTGAGCGGCGCGGCGCGGGCTGCGGCGCGCTGGGTCCCTGCTCCCCCGGCCCCCAGCTCTGGCCGCGCGGGGAGCAGGACCGGGACGCGAGTGGTGGCCCCCGAGTGCGAGGGGCGGGACCGGCCCGGACGTCGGCGGGCATCGGGCGGCGGCCAAGTGCGCCGGACCTGCGGAAAACACCCCCGGGCTGTGAAGCAGGTCACCCTGGGGAGAAACGTTACTTCTGTGCTGAGTTTGGTGCGCAGACACCCTGCAGCCTCCCGGCTTCATTTCCCATCCGCCCGCCGCGTCCCCGCGGCCGCCTCGCCCTGAGCGAACCTCTCCTGCAGCCATGCGGTTCAGGTGCGCGCTCCGAGAGGAGTCCGGAGGATGCTCAAGGACCGCAGCGCTTTGCGGAGTGGCGGGCGGGTGTTGCTGAGGTTCCAGCGGTGAAGTGAGCCCCTGGTGCAGCCTCTTCAATCAAATCTTCAAAGGATTTGGGTCCTTTGGGGTGTGAATTGAGAGAAGGTGAGGTAGTAAGTGGGGGCCTCCAACTTGCTGGGTGGGACCTTTATATCATTAGGTACTTGAACAAGCAGAAGAGGTCGGTAAGAGGTAGAGGAGCGCTTTCTGGGGGTGGGGAGGGGCTGTGAGTGGGCTTTTGCGGGCGACCGAAGACAGAGGAGTGAGACCAAGAGTAGTTTAGACACGAAGAGAAATCACCGTCTGTCAAAACCCGCGTCTCCCGTCGCCAGGGGTCAACGGTCCAGCCGTTCCCTCCTGGACCACAGCGGACTCATCCCCATGGGGACAAAGCCCGCCAGACTTGTTGCAGGGTTCACGGGAGCAGGCCTGTGTGGCAGGGGGTCCTGGCCTCTCAGTGCACGGAGCAATTCTAGGGGGAGGCCGGAGTGGCTCTTCTCATTTTCCAGATGAGGACACTCAGGGCCCGAGGCGGGTGCAGGAGAGCAGTGAAGTGAGCGAGAGCCTGAGCTTGGGGCCCTGTCAGTGCCCAGGCTGCTGAGGCCCTCCAGAGGCAACGGGAAGAAAGCACGTCCCCTGCTTTTGGGGGGGGGGGTGGTCTCTGTGGACCCTTGTTTGTCCATCTTTTTTTCATGACTGCCCTCCCTCCTAAGGAGATTTTTAGACTCTATTTGTTCTAAGTGCCTCCCCCATGAAATTTTAATACCACAGATATGCTCTCTATTCATGCACTAAGTCCCTTTGGAGTGTTACAAACCATTGTTTTGCAATAATACTTAGATTTTTTTGCCTCCTCCTCCAAGATCTAATTTTTCCCCCTGTTGAGAGTACATCCTGTAGACCAGGCGTTCTCAACCTCCACACTACCATCATCTTGGGATTATACACTTCTTTGTTGTGAGTTGTAGCATTGTAGGATGTTTAGCAGCATCTCTGGCCTCTACCCACTAGATGCCTGTAGCACCCACTGCCCAGAGCCAGACGTTATTTCCTGTGGGATACCCGCTCTTCCTGCCCGTTGTTAGGAGCCACAGCTGAAGACAAATCTAGAGGAAATGAACAGCCTCTGGCCAGTCCACTTCCTCAGTGGAGATGACAATGGAAATAAAATTAACTGAATTGGCATACTTTTTTACTTACCCCTTTGATTGTAATTATTTTTAGTATGTTTGCCAGATCTTCCCCCAAGGCCAGCCCAGAGGATGAGTTATTTCAGAGCCAAAGTCACATCCCCAGCCCTGGTATAGAGCCTGGCAGAGCCCTCAGAAACATTTTCAAACAAATTACTGGCATGGAGGAAAAACAGAGCTTGGAGCCCGAGGCCTGGGGTTCTGGTCCCAGCTGGTTATTAACTCATGTGTGACTCCCCTTGGACAATTTCCTGACATTTGAAATGAGGGGCTAAGTCACCTCCATGGTCCCGTCCAGCTCAAACGTTGTTTCCCAAGTGTGAATGATGTGTGCTAAAGCAGTCACACATCAAAGGTGTGAGCTGAGGAATCATGTTGAGAGAGTGCACACTGCTATTCTAGGGCCTTGGTGATGTGTCAGACATCGCTGACCAGCCCAGGGGGCTTTGTGAAGAAGCTGAAGAACATAAACCCCCCCTGGATCCAAAGGTGTAGGATGACTGCAGGGCAGTAAGCATCCCTTGGGCCTGGCAGACTCAGTACAAAGTACTTAACATGATGTTAGTTCATTGTCAAATGTCTGACATGGGCATCATTCCCATTTTCCGGATGAAAACAATCGAGGCACAGAGATGGTGAGCCTCACTGGGATTGGGAGCCAGGTCTGTCTTTCCAGAGCTACACTGAGACCTTTGCGTGTCATGCTCCAGCCTGCTCATCTAAAGTCTTGAAATCATTACTATCGTGAACAAAATATGCCATCCTCTCTCTGGGCAGGCCTGTTGCTGAGCCTCAGTTTACTCGCATAGTCGAGTGGGAATGAGAACCCACTTTGTTGGGTGGCATGCGGGGTGAGAAAGCACTGTCCACGTGGGTGGCCTCGTCGTTACAAGGGGCTGGGGCCACGCAATTTGTTGGGTGCTGGACGAGCAAAGAATGATACAGCTCTGCCTTGGGTATCTTCTATTCTAGTCGGGATCAGAACACCACCCAAACAGCTGCAGGGCATTTTGTGTTCCTATAGTCTTGTCCTCATTTGAAGGACAAGGAAACTGACAATGGGTCCAATAACTAAGCCAGGATCCAAACCCAGCTTTGCTTAATTCTCCAGCCCCTGGGCACCTAACCCTGGCACCCACGACCTCCTAGGCCAGCAAGGGAAGACCCTGGGGCAGGGCGGAGGGGAGCTGGGGACTTGCAGCCACAAGAGGGTAATGGAGGTTAGAACTAGGCAAGAGAGAAGAATTGATAGAGGGCAGCTCCTCGGCTTCAAGGACTGTCCCGCAGGAAGGATTCCCCCACGGGGCAGAGCTGGGCACATTTCATGCTGCGGCAGCAGGGCTTCAGCTGCCATGGGAGGAAGTACTTTGTGAGGGTGCAGGCTGAGATGAAGGACTAAACACAGAGGAAGGAGCTCCCCAAACCCGGGGCAGCGTCATGCATGTGGTAGGGGTACTTAGGCAGCACTTCAGTCCTGGTGCATCATCCAGCCAGTTACCTGGCAGCAGGGCCTGGACTGCAGGAGGGGCATGGTGGGTTGAAAGGTCTCATCTGCCAGGTGGGTGGCACCGAGAAGCAGGTATTTTTCTGAAGATAGGCCTTCTTTGGTTGGGGTCTTTCTGGCCTAATCAGTGAGCAACTGACAGAAGGGGAACTGGAACCCAGGTCTGTGTGAGGCGAGCCTGTGGCCCTGCCCTCCGCCACCTCCTGCAGCTGGGCACCTTCCCGCCTCTTGACTGTGAACTTTGTTCTCCCTCCAGACCATTCTTCTCTCTCTGAGAGGTCAGAACCACTGGAAAGGTGGTTGAGGGAGAGAAGGAAGGTCAGGAACTGAGACCTGGAGGCTGGGCTGCTCAGTGGTCCCAGGCAAGTCCCAGCCTCACTGGATCTCAGTCTCCTAATCGTCCCTGCCCTTCTCACCTCACTTGGTTGTTATGAGGATCAACGGGAAGGATGGATATGAAAAGCAGAAAATCCTGTCCTAGTGTTTTGTTCATTCGACACATTCCACACCCCACAGTGGCAGGCAGTGAACTAGAAGGTGCTGCCCGTGCCCGGAGCTGGCAAAGCACAAGGATTAATAGCACAGACTCTCTAGCCAGCTCATCTGCCTCAAAACCTGGTCTGCCAGCCCCCCGTGTAACCCTGAGCAAGTTCCTCCACCCCTCGGATCCTTGGCTGCCTCCTCTAGGAAGTGAGGGTGATGCTGGTACCTCGTGGTTGTGAGGATTCATTGGGTCCGTATCTGCAGGGTGCTCGACAGCACTGGCTACGTAGTTCATGGGGCCCAGTGCAGAATGAAAACGTGGGGTCTCTAAGCATTTCAAGATGGCAACAGCAGAGCAGTAAACCCTGTGCAGCGTGCTGTGCAAGTGCACAGGTCACACAGCATGAAGCCAGCCCTGGGGCTTGGAGGACGTGCTCTGAGGTAGGTCTCCCTCCCAGGCCAGGGTGGGCTGGGTTAGAACAGCGCACACCAGCGAGGAGGGTGACATCTAACCCCACTCCTCTGCCGGTGGTCCTCTGGCCTGTCTGGAGAAGCAACCGCCTTTGAATGATGGGGCTCCAGCACCTCCAGGAAGCCGTGGTGACTGTGTGTGCAGCCGGGCTCTGTAGGGAGGCGCCCGGGCCTTAGCAGTGGCTGCGCAGAGGAGAGATGCTGGACTGCACCTGGCAACTGGATTTCATTATCCGGAACAAGCTCCTGACCCCTGAGAAGAGGCAGAGGGGAGAAGGGAGAGTGGGGGGACTGTGAGGGGAGCTGAAGCAGGTTAGCAGGCAATGCTCAAGCAATGCAGTAAGGGTTTGTGGGTGGGGGGGGCTCTTATGTTAACTGGAAACACATGGGTCAGGGCTGCCCTGCCAAGCCTGGGAGCATATGCCTGGGCCCGTGTTTGTGTGTGTGTGTGTGTGTGTGTGTGTGTGTGAGAGAGAGAGAGAGAGAGAGAGAGAGAGAGAGAGAATGAATGGTGGGGACATATCTTGGTGTATATCTATATATCTCGTGTTTATCTGGGTAATGACACCATCCCCAAAAGAATGGAGCTGTGTATTTGTACACGTGTGAAACTCCACATTTAAGCATAAAAGATGTGGGAGGTGGTTCCATGGGATAGGGCAGGTGTTCTTAAACAGGCGGGAGCCTCCAAAGTTGCTTCAGAATGTCATGGAAATACACCGCCCAGAGATCTGCATCAGTAGTGGAGGGGGGCGGTCTTCAAACCAAATAAGATGTAAAGAACCAACACCGTGCTGGTGAGAGGGGTGCTGCCCGCTCTCTCTCTGAGAACTATCTATCAGCACCTCTAGGTAACACTCACTGCATGTGCCAGGCGCCGTTCTAACTCAACAGCCCTATGAGACAGGGATGGCCGGCCGTTTCCCTAATTTACAGGAGGAGAAACTAAGGCAGATTAAGTAACCTGCCCACGGTCATACAGCCAGTAGGTGTCCAAGTTGGGGTTTGATCCCAGGTGATGTGGCCTCCAGCCTGCACTCGTTACCACCACCTTCGGGGCCAGGCAAGAAGATGAAAGCCGAAGCGCTTTTTGAATGCAGAGGGGGTTGCCCTTGAGGGGTAATTGGCCTGAGTGTCTGCGCAGGCGCGTGTGCACCGATGCCTGGGCGTTGAGATCCGGCAGAGCTGAGTTTGAACCTAAGCTCCCATACTGTAACCTGTGAGACCTTATGGAAACCCCTTACCCTCTCTGAGCCTCCACAGCCTCATCGTTAACACAGAGATAGTCACACTCACCCCTCATCAGTGCTGGCATTCATTCAATCACTCAGAAATGATTTACTGAGCGCCTGTAGCGTGCCAGGCACTGTGCTAGGCATGCGATACAGCGTGAACAAAGCAGACAAACATTTCTACCTGCACGGAGCTTACACCCTAGCTGGAGTAAGTGTCAGAAGGTATGTAAAGGGCGTGGTCCAGGCGCGGTACGGAAGATGCGCTCAGACGGTGCTTACACGTCAGGGCTCTGAGTGCTCTGCCCACATCCCTGCAGGCCTCACTTCCAGTTGCCTGAGGGCTTTTGCTGGCACTAGGGCCTGCTCTGAGCTGTGCATGGCCAGCCCGAAGCTCCTGGAGTGCCCATCCTCTCCCCCACCCAGCCTCCCTCAACCGATGACCATTGGCATAACTGAGGCGCCCAGTGGGATGCGCTCCAGTTGTGCACCGTGGTCACTGGCTCCATGGAGCATTCTTTATTAGCTGCCTCCCTCCCTGACTTGCTGCCTCACTCCCTGCTGGTGTCTCCAGGGATCACTTTCCAAAGGAACCACTTGCCCTTGAATCTTTGTCTCAGCGTCGGCTTCTCAGGAAACCCAAACTAAGATCAGATGTCCCCCTCCACTCCGGGGAGTTCCCCAGGGGCTGACACACAGGGCAGGAGGCTCCAAGAGAGGAAGGGTGGTGTGTGTGGCTGTGATGTTGAGCCAGGGCTTTCTGTGGCCTCTGCTCATCGTCTGGTCCGATTGGGCACCAGGGTGGGGAGGGCTGGAAACGGACACTTTGAATGCCTGCTCGGTGCCAGCCCTGTCCCATCACCGTTTCCCATTTTACAGATGAGGACGCTCACAGAGGTTATGTCGCCTGCCAGGGTCCCAGAGGTCAGAAGCCAGGCCACCACTGGCATTCAGACGCAGGCAGCCTGACCCTAGAGCAGGGTCTCTTAACCGCAGCACTGTTGACATTCTGGGCTGGATAATCCTTGCTGTGAGGTTGTGCTATGTATGCATTGTAAGATTTCTGGTTTCTACCCACTAGATGCCAGTAGCACCCCTTTCCCCACCCCAGCTGTGACAACTACAAATGTCATTGCCAAATGTCCGCAGATGAAACCTGGTGTTTGTGCCCAGGAGGCTGGGGCATGTAAATCAGCTAGAAAGGCTGCAGACCCTGAACTGCTGCTGCCCCACGTCTGCCTGTTTCTGTGCCCAGAGGCTGCAGACAGAGGAACTGCTGTGCAAAGTTGTGGGGACAGTTAGGGCTTCCGTGGAATTATGGGTGGGAACTGCTAGGAAGGTGGCATCTGGGGATGCTCCAGGCCTCCAGGATTGGCCAGAGAAGGGGTTGGGTTGTTCCATTACTCATCTATCCATCTTCTGCTCATCCGTCCCGGCTATCTGGACCAGAACACTTTCACTCATCGAGAGACTCTGGGCCCCGGTTGAGATGGGCCCACGGCTGCCCTGGGACCAGGTGTTTAGTGCAGGAGCCTTGTTTGTTTTGGTTCTGTTTTTTGTTTTGGTTTGGTTTTTTGGCTGCGCCACATGGCATGCGGGATCTTAGTTCCTTGACCAGGGATCGAACCCGTGCTCCCTGCAGTGGAAGCGTGGAGTCTTAACCACTGGACCACCAGGGAAGTCCCAGTGCAGGAGCCTTGGAGCCAGGCCTCTGGGGACCACAGAAGGAGGGGGTCAAAGGGGAGAGACATGAGAAACAAGACTGATTCAGCCCCTGATATGTGAAGTAGACTCTCAGCGCTCCCACCTGCAGTGTTGGAGCATGCTGTTTAAGAGTGTGAGCTCTGGCTGCCTGGTTCAAGTCCTGCTTCTAACAGTAAATGCCTGTGTGACCTCAGGCAAGTTACCTGCCTTTTCTGTGCCTTAGTTTTCATGATCAAAATGGAGATGACAGCTAGCCCTTACCTCTGAGGGTTGTTGGGAGGATTAAACGAGTGATCTAAGTGTTTAGAATAGTGCCTGCCACAGTGGATGCTGTGGAAGTGTTTGATAAATAAAATTCTGACAATCCTTCCAGGTAGGAATTATTATTCTCATTTTGTTGGTGCGAAATCATCAAATTGAATGAGCAAGTGAGAAGGAGAGCTGGGATTTGAACCCAAGCTGATCTGACTCTCCAGACCCATGTTTTTCAGCCGTACCACACTGTCCAAGGTATGAGGCGGGAGGTGGGCTCAAGGCTGTGGCCTGGGTGAGGCAGGGTCCACAGGCTCCTGGCCCCTGAGGCTCACAAGGCAGCCCTGGACAGGGCTCTTTCTGCCCTGGTGTAGAGGGAGAAAGAAGGCTGTGGCCTGGGTGAGGCTGTGGCCTGGGTGAGGCAGGGTCCACAGGCTCCTGGCCCCTGAGGCTCACAAGGCAGCCCTGGACAGGGCTCTTTCTGCCCTGGTGTAGAGACCTGGGCAATGGCTGCAGCCTGGAGGTAGGTGCCGACCCAGTGCTCCACCGCCTGAGCAGAGAAGGCCAGAGCAAGAGTCAGAGACATCCAGGACTGCTTTCACTTAGTGTTTGAGCTGCATCAAGGACAGTCCCAGTGTGGACCTCATGGCACTGGCTGGTGGAGGGGATTAACTGGCAGACAGACGGCCACACAAGCAGCCTGGAATAGGAAAAGGGGCCGGGCCCCACGTGAGCAGGCGGAGGAAGGTTGCTGTGGTCAGGGATGCCAAGAAATACAGCCCCCGCACGGATGGCTTGGGAAGGCCAGGTGGCAGGGGAGTGTGCCGAGGGGAAGGGCCTGGGTCTGCTGCCCACGCCCCTGTCGGCCTTCCTGAGCCTTCCTGCCCTGACGTGGGAGGGCCTGGGTGTCTGTTCTCTGACAAGGGCCCTGGGGGATTCTGAGGCAAGTGTCTGCAAACTGCACTTTGGAGCCACCGCCTTAAACATCTCACTTCCCCTCTGGGCCTCAGTTTGTTCATCTGTGAAATGAGCAGGTTGGATTGTGTCTCTTCCACGTGTAGAAACCTGATTTGAACCCTCCTTCTCGTGCCTCGCGCTGGCATCATTTGCCCGAGTGCTTTGTGGACGCCGTCCACCCTCTGAGGTGTTAAAGCAGACACGTTTGGATACACGGTCTCCAGGCGAGTTTGTGACTTGGTCTGCCCCCAGGGCTCCCGAATCTCCCCCTGCTCCCACCCCCCACCAGCCTTTTACGGGTTCGCATGGGCACTGACCTCAGGCACCCCTCCCTCCCATCTCTCCCTCAGCTCTCGGCCTCCCCAGACCCCAGCTCTCCTAGAGAAGAAGAGGAGCCCCCTCTGCTCTCCAGAGCCCGCCTCCAGGCAGGGCTGCGCCGACACAGGCGCTGGGCTCTCACTGAGCCAGCAGCCCTGACCCTGGACAAGACCTCCTTGCCCGGGACCCTGGAGGACGCTCCCTTGCTGCTGGAGCTGCAGAAGCTGCCGGGATTGGCCAACACAGATTTGAGTGCCCCAAACCCCAATATCCAGGTGAGAGCTACAGGGGCGCCGTGGGCCCAGTGGACACCTGGAGAGAAGCTGGGCTGAAGAGCTCAGCTCTGAGGTCAGGTGTCCCATCCGGTACTGCTTGGAGGGCAGGGGTCCTGTGCAGGTTGGAGAAGGTGACAGCCCCCGCCCTGCCTGTGGAGCAGTGGGTGGTGACCTGCCCACCAGAGGGGCTTTATGGGAGAGAAAACTAGAGGGGTTGGTGGAATTCCAGTTTACATACTCCACCATCAGTCCCGAATCCCTAATGACAATAATTCCTGCATTTTGTGTACCATGTATAGCTTACAAAACATTTTCACCAAAAGAGAAAAAAGGTCACAAAAATATAGAACACACAACATTCTAAAGTTGTTTAAAAGTGTGTGTGTGTGTCTGTGTGTCTGTGTGTCTCTATATCTAAACTTGGAAGGTTAATCACCAAAATGTTACCTGTCAGAGATGGAATATGGGTGATTTCCATTTTCTTCTTTATATTTGGCTTGTTCCTTTCCCCAAATTTTGTTCTGTGACCTCCTATCGCTTTGTAATAGCCCAAAGTGACGTTTTTAAAGTTCACTTTCACATAAATGGTTTCACGTTACTTATTTCCTGTCCACGATGTAGTGGGCGAGAGCCCTCCCCAGGGCTGTTGTGGGGATCTGCTGTCATTTGGCCTCATTTTCTGGCCCTAGAATGAGGAAATGGAGATTCAGGGCCGTCAGTGGCCCCAGCAGTTGCGCAGCCTGTGGGCTGCTGGAGCCAGAATTCAAACCCAGCTTTTCTTAAATGAGTGGGTCTCCACCCCGGCACGTGTTAGGACCACTACGCCTGGCCCTACCTCACACACCAGTTAAATCCGTGTCTGGGGTGGGGTCAGGGGCTCAGGAATCTCCAGCAGATTCTGATGCACAGCCAGGTCTTAGACTGTGACCCTCTGTGCCCGGGGAGACCAAGAAGGTGGACCAAAAGAATGGGCTGGTTTGGAGAAAAGGTTGGGCCTCTCCCCCTGCCCCCAGGCTTGTCATCTCCCCTGCCTTTGGAGTCTGGCTCTGAGCCCTCCCTCACTGGCCGGGTGTGTCTGTACCTCTGCAGGTGACCATCGAAGTGGTGGAGGACCCCCAGGCTGAGGTGGAGATGGACCTGCTGGCTGAGCCTAACAATCGCTGGTCCCAGGGGGCCCCCAGCTGGCTGCCGGCCAAGGAACTCTTCTGGCCCCTATTCTGGGGCTACCTGGAGGGCGAGGAAGGGAGGCCCAGTCTCAAGGGCAGAGCCGCAGGGGAAGAGGAGGATTACCCTCCAGAGTACCGTGAGAGTGAGGACCAAGAGGACCACGACGAGGAAGACGACGATGACCAAGAGCATGGGTTCAGTGGGGGCGCAGGAGGCTGGGAGCGGGGCTGGCTGTCCCCCGGGGACCGGGCCTTCAAGGAGCCTGATAGCTCCGGTGAGCTCCCCCATCTTGACATCCCCGGCCCTGGGGGTCCTGAGTGGAAATGGGGGTGAGAGCTTCCCGGGCAGGGGCAGCTGGGGAGGCCTGGAGCCTAGGCCTGCGCAGACACCATCATCAGCCAAGCATTACCCATAGCTTGCAAAGTTTGTTTGTTTTTCAAACATTTGACCCTCACAACAGCCCTGAGATCCCCTAAGCAGAACAGACATTTATTAATAATATATATATTCATATCCGTTTCCAACAAATTAAGAAATATTATAAATCCCACCACTCACAACTGACCTCACCTTCAGATTGTGTGAGTTTGAATCCTGGGTCTGCTGCTTACCAGCTGAGTGACCTTGGGCAGGTTAACCTCTCTGGGCCTCAGTTCCTTCTTCTCTAAAATGGACATGGGCACAACCCTGACTATGTAGAATTGGGTGTAGAGAGTAGTAAGTGAGTTAGTACTTTTTTTTTTTTTTAAGAAGATGTTGGGGGTAGGAGTTTATTAATTAATTTATTTTTTTTGGCTGTGTTGGGTCTTCGTTTCTGTGCGAGGGCTTTCTCTAGTTGTGGCAAGTGGGGGCCACTCTTCATCGCGGTGCGCGGGCCTCTCACTATGGCGGCCTCTCTTGTTGCGGAGCACAGGCTCCAGATGCGCAGGCTCAGTAGTTGTGGCTCATGGGCCTAGTTGCTCTGCGGCATGTTGGATCCTCCCAGACCAGGGCTCAAACCCGTGTCCCCTGCATTAGCAGGCAGATTCTCAACCACTGTGCCACCAGGGAAGCCCGTGAGTTAGTACTTTTAAAGTGCCAGTACATAGTAAACAAAGTATTGGCTATTACGTTTTTTTTAGAAAGCAACATAACAACGTAGACTATTCAGAAAATACCACCTAAAGCCTGTCCCCCGCCCCATGACAGGC